AGGGACACGGGGACGCAGGGCGCACACAGGGACATGGGGATGAAGGGCACGCACAGGGACACGGGGCGCACACAGTAACGCAGGGACATGGGGTGCACACAGGGACATGGGGACACAGGGACATGGAGTGCGCACATGGATGCGGCAATGCGGGGCACACGCAGGGACATGGGGATGCAGGGTGCCCACAGGGACACATGGCGCACGCAGGGACTCGGGGCGCACGCAGGGATGAAGGGACATGGGGTGCACATGGGGACACGGGGCGTGCACCGTCCCCTCCTGTGCCACCACACAGGCTCCGTGTTTGCGCACGTGGGGACGTGCAGAGGGGCCCTGGCTGCGTCGGCTGCATCGCCCGGCTGCTCCCTTGGAGCGYGCAGGGATTTGTCCCGCTGCCCGTTGCAGCGCAGCTCCGTGCCCAGGAGGAGCCTTTGCTCCCGCAGCGCCTCGCTGCAGCGCTGCAGAAGGCCGCGTTTTGCCTCGCCAGCCCCTGCGCGTGCGGCAAGGCGCATGCGTGCAGCGCGTGCCCGGTGACACGGCCCCTTCGGGAGCGCGGCGCTGCTCCGGGCTCCGTGCCGGAGCCTCCCGCGGCTCCCAGCCCCGCAGCCCGGCCTGCGGTACCTGCAGCAGGCGCGCGCGGAGCTGGCGGCTGGCGAGCAGCTCGGGCAAGCGGCCGGCCATCTCCATCCAGGGCTCGTAGGGAGGCGGCAGCTCCGTCTGGGCGGGCGAGAGGGAAGCGTGAGGCCGAGCGGACGCATCATGCCCCGGACCTGGAGTCTCCACCAGGCTGCTCTCCAGGGCCGCTATCCCACCTGGATCCCGCTATCCCCACCAGATCCCACTGTCCTGCTGCTTGGAGCATGGGGACGCGGAGCCGGTCGCTTCCTACCAGGGGGTTCGGGAGGAGGAAGCCGAACTCCTCGGAGAGCTGGAAGCGGCTCAGGGTGAAGGGCTGCGGCGGCGCCTCCTCCTCGCCGCTCGCTGCCATCCCGGGGCCGCCGGGTGCCGAGGGGGGATGCCCAGGATGGGGCCCGGGAGCGGGATGGGGCTCRGGAGGAGCGCGGCGCTCCCTGCAGCGCCGGTATGTGCTGAGCCAGCGCGGGCCGGCGCGGGGCCGGACCTTGTCCCCATGGCCGGAGGGTCAGAGCAAACACGAGTCGAGGGCGCTGATAAGTCGCTCTCGGACGCACAAACAGCAGCAGCTGCCGCTGGYGGTGGCTGCCCAGGGAGTCCTTCACTCTGCCTGCCTGGGAGCATCCCGCGAGCCTCCCGGGAGCATCCTGCATCCTGCGAGCATCCTGCGAGCATCCCGCATCCCATGAGCATCCCACGAGCATCTTGRGAGCCTCCCACATCCCAKGAGCACCCCACRAGCATCCCATGAGCATCCTGCAAGCATCCTGCAAACACYGYGTGAGCATCCTGCATCCCGCGAGCATCCCACATCCCATGAGCATCCTGTGAGCATCCCATGAGCATCCCACAAACATCTTGCGAGCATCCCGTGAGCATCCTGCATCCCACGAGCATCCTGTGAGCATCCCATGAGCATCCTGCATCGCACAAGCATCCCATGAGCATCCCGCATCCCACAAGCATCCCATGAGCATCCTGCGAGCATCCTGCATCCCACGAGCATCCCGCAAGCATCTTGCGAGATTCCTGCTCCCTGCGAGCATCCCACAAGCATCCTGCAAGTATCCCGTGAGCATCCTGCATCCCGCGAGCATCCTGCATCCCACGAGCAGCCCGCGAGCATCCCGCTTCCTCGCTCGGATGGGGCCGTGGCCGGAGCAGGAGGGCACAGGGGGCTTGAGGTGCACATGGTGTAAGTAACTTGAGTGCAGCTGTGTTTTAGATAAGCATATATACATATATATATATATATATATATACAAGTGCATATCATATGTGCATGTGAATATGAGTGTATATAACTATATTTAAGTCAAGGGATGGGCATTTACATAGGTGGTGCAGGGCATGCGCGGCGCCTGCAGCGGATGGATCGCAGGTGCCCGGAGATGCCCAGGCTGTTTCCACAGGGAGGCACTTCGGATGCCTCCCACTCACCAGAGGGAGAAGCCAGGAGGGACAGTGAGAGGGAAGGGGATGGAGGGCGGCTTGTGGGTGCCGGTGTGTGGGATCACAGCATTCGGATGTCACCAACAGCGTTTATTGAACCAGACAAAACCCCAACCCGAGGCAGAGGTCCTCGCGGGAGCTCGGTGCCCTGCTGTGGCAGGGACCCRCTTTGCTCACGGTCCCACAGGCGGGCCAGGCGGGCCAGGGATGCGCTGCCCGCTCGCTCCCTGCCTTCGGGAGCCGGGCAGGAAGCGCCTGCGCTGCCCGGTGCCCGCCTGGGCACCTCGCTCGGCCCCGCTGCTGCTTTACAGCCTGCAGGGAGACGCCGGCGAGTGCCCCGAGCCGCCAGCAGCGCGTCCAGCCCCACGGCCCGAGCACGGGGGACATGGGGCACCACCAGGGCCACCCGCCTGCCACCTACCTCGGCTCCTCCGCAAGGTCCACATCCACAGAGCTGCCGCGGCGGGAGCAGAGACATCCCCGTTAGCCCCAAGTGCTCCCTGCACCAGCCTCCTGCCAGAGCCATCCACCCTCTTCCCGGGGCCGGGCTGCTCCGGCTCGCAATGGGAACCCGCTCCGTGCAGCACCCGCTCCGCAGCCTGAGCCCCCTGCCTGCACCCTCGCATCCTCCCGGGATCTCCCGGGATAACTCACCCCTCGCGCGGCGAGCCCTCCGGAGCGCGGCAGCGGCACCAGGCGCGTTGCCACAGCAGCAGGATGGTGGCGCCCAGGAGGACGGGCAGGAAGAGGCAGAAACTGATAAGGAGCCAGTTCCTCAGCACGTCCCTGCTCGGGACGACCGCTTCATCTGGGCAAAGAAGGGGCCTCCTTTACCTATAGGAGCAGCACAGCCGCCCGCCCCTCTGTCTATAGATACTTTGCTGTATGTACATATAGCGCAGCCCTGCACTCCGCGTACCCGCTCTGAAGAGGCTCTCGCTGCTCCCTCCCATCGTGTTCGCTCTCTCCAGGCAGGTGGGTGGCTTCCAGCCAGGGTGACAATGACACAGCCCTTTGTTATTGCAGATCTGCAGGGGGGCACCAAAAACAGGCAGCGGTCAGCGAGGAGGGGCACGGGCAGCTTGGAACGTCCTGCGAGCCCTCGGCATGGACATCGTGGYGACAATGGCAGGGAAAAGCGTCGGGATGCAAAATGTGCCCTAGGATGGTGTGCATGGACAGAGAGGCGTCTGTGGGAGCCTGTCTGCACACAGGGCCACCTGGTCCCAGGGCCACTTGCCATGATGGAAACGAGCGGAAACACCGAGATGTTGGGTCYGAGGGGACGTCACCCCACACAGCCSYGGGCACGGGTGCCCTCCCTCAAGGGACATCGCTTTCTGTCCCATCTTCAGCCTTTCGGAGGCAGAACACTGAGCCCTTCTCCCACACCCAGAAGAGATTTCCCTCCAGAGAGATGGTGCCATTGGCCAGGGGGCTCCGGGTGGCTATCAGGAGCGTGGGACATCACTACTTACGCCGTGATTGTGGCATTTGGTCTTTATTTCACACTTGTAGTTGAAGACGGTGGCAGGCACGCACTTCTGGTTCATGCAGACCTGCAAGACCATGAGCACCACCGGGCTCTGAGGGGCCGCAGGGCTTCCAAGAGCCCCCCCGGGGCTTCAATGTGGACCCTGTTTGTCACCAAGGCCACCCCACAGGGGCCCCRACTCCTCGGGCTTCCACAAGCGGCTCGGTCGCCTCTTCCAGCCGGGCCGCGCTGCGGATCTCACAAGCGGCCGGCGTTCCTAAGGGGCGCTCACCATGCGGTCGCCGCAGACGGTGCCGTCGTTCACCAGCATGGGGTCCCTCTGGGCGGGAGGCTTCATGTAGTCCAGCGTCACGCAGAGCGAGTTCTGCACCCGCGCGTAAACCACCGCCGCCTTCTCCCTGGTGAAGGGCTTGTGGCTGGGATACTCGCAGATGAGCTTCCCGCAGCGCAGATCCCTACGGAGGCAGCAGGGTGCCCGGGAATCACGGCTCTGGCCACGGCCGCGCCAYGGGACACGGGAACAGGCGCGACTTACTTCCACGCACAGCTCTGGTAGCCGCTCTGATTGGAACCGCAATGTCCCATCCTGTCCCTTCGGCCGTTTATTTCTTCGTAACAGGCCAGGGGGCCGTTCCTGGCACCTGCAAACAGGTGCCACACTCGCACCCCATCCCTTCCCGCTTCAGCGTGCGCGGGAAGCTCTGGGTTYGTCCCCCTGCAGCCGTTTTGGCACCATTACCCTTCCCAAAGACCCTCTGGCACTGCTTGTCGGCGAGCTGGCACACTCCTCGGTAGCAAAAGGCGCTCCGGCGGTTGCAGGGATGCCCATCCATGACCCAGAAGTTGGGCGTGCACTGCCCGGAGGTGCCGTTGCAATATTCCTTCAGCTCGCACTCGTCCTCYGGGCTGCTCCGACACAGGGTTCCCTTTTGCAGGAACTAGGGGGAGAGGCAGCGCAGGAGGAGCCGTGCTCGGCCCCGCGCCGCGCTCGGCTCCCCCGGCGCGGCTTACACGGCATTTCCAGCAGCACGGTCCCGACAGGCATTCCACCCCTTTCTTGGCTTTGCATCCCACCGTGCAGCACAGATCCCGCTTGCATTCCTGCTCAGGGCGGAGAGGAGCTCAGGGATTTGGGATCCTCTCTTGGAAGGAGAGCTCCACACACGACCACGAGCCCCTCGTGCTCCCGTTACGACGACCGACCTCGGGCGAACCGCAGTCACAGGCCTCTCCCGGCTCCACCACCTTGTTGCCRCACACGGGAGCTCGATAGGATATATCCATAGTAGGCCTATTCCAGAGGCACTGCCCTTCCCCGCTGGCCAGGAAACGCTGGAAGTCCCTCACGCTGCAGCTGCTGAAGGTTTTGGCGCCAGGGGAGCGTCTGAAAGCCACAGAAAAACCATTGGGGTAAAACAACCTGTTTTCGGGGAGCGGGCGGCGCCCCCGGCCCGCGGGSAGCCTTACGCCGCGGTGCTCTGCATGAGGCAGGTGGCCCCCGCGCAGCGGCAGCGGCGGGCGCCGTCGTAGCCGATGCCCAGGCTCAGCCCCAGCAGCTGCGCCACCACCACCGAGAAGGTCTCCAGCGTCATCGCGCCGCGGTACTGCGGTGGGGACAGGGGCTCTCGTCACCGCCGGACACCCCCTTGGGCTCCGGTGGGTGGCACAGACGGCTCGGGCGGCACCGTACCACGGCCACCGCTCCAGCGAGGTTCTTGTGGCACAACCTGCTCGCAGAGGAGGCTCCCACGTAAMGCGGCTGCTGCCGGTAGCTGYGGGATGGACACGGCCGGGATCCCGYGCGGGCTGCTCCGCGTCGCATCCCGCCGTCCCGCGCGGCTTCAGCCCTCACTTACACCAACAGGAACGTGATGTCCTGGAGCCGCAGGACACGGTGGGTGTTTTTCCACTGCAGAAACCTCTGCAGTAACTCCTGGGCACCTCCCACGGTTGGGATTTTATCCCGTTCCGTCCAAAACTCCAGGGAAGTCAATACTATGGTCAGGTTAAGGCGAGTAAACATCTGGAAAACAAGCATGGAGCGGATGCAGCAGAGATCCTGGTTGATCCAACCGCTGGCGCGTGGTGCCRAGGCCGCAAGCGCCTTACGCTGTTGACGTAGCTGAAGAGCTGAACCACCTTCTCCGTGGCGGTGGCCTTGGTGGCACCCATGTGGTYGTACTGGAAGGGGGCCGCGCGTCGCTGCGGGCGGCAGCACGGGGCCCCGCACGCGGCAGCCCTCCGGAGCGCTCGCCGAGCCGGGAGCTTTCCCAYTCCCAGAGGAAAGGGGCTCCCTGGCACTGCCAGGCTCCGCGGGAATTCCCAGCGCCTCTCCCACCACGCGGTCGCACGCAGGCCTTTCTGCTAGGAGAAATAACCGCGCGTGGAGAGGCTTACCAGGGCCTTGTCCAAAACTGCGTGCACTTCCAGATACCGAGGGGATCTAGTGGCGGCTTCTTCATCCTGGTGGAAAATAAAACCGCAGTGAACAACCCCCCATGCACACGGTATTTCTGCACTTTATAGCTGCTCCGCAAGATGCTTTGGGCTACAGGCAATTGGTGCTCTTCCAGGTTGATTTCAGCTGCTCGCCAGGCTCCTGCTCCTCTAGGAAGYGATTCCGTGTGATATCCATAGCGTTAACCATCGGAATGCCACGTCCAGGGCTCTTCCCGGCTTTACAAACCTGGCACAAGCTCTTTGCACCGAGGAGACAGACCCAGACTAGCAGGTCAGCTCAAACGTCCAGTACCAACAACCTCCCCATGTGCTCTGGGTGTCCCTGCTGGAGCAGGGGGTTGGACTAGATGATCTCTAGAGGTCCCTTCCGACCTCAACCATTCTGGGATTCTGGGATTCTCCCAACATGGGGCATGCCCACGATGGGGACTGCCCGTGTTTCTGCTGCTTCCTTGGGATCTGGATGCCTGTTTGCAAGGAAAACACAACTCAAACCCACTACCCTCAGAGCTCACCTGGGCTCCTCCRTCCTGCCCCGGCGCCATGTCCTGCGGCTGTGCCAGCGAGCTGTTTTCCACAAATATCAGATTCTCTACATCGTCATTCCGCACCAAATAGACGAGATGCTGGTATCCGGGCGCAGCATCCAGAGGCTCGATTCCATAGGTGGCATTAGGGAGCTGCAGAATCCCACTGCGGGCCAAGGCACAGGGCTCCCTGGCTGCCTCCGGATGATCCCGGCGGCACGCTCGCTCCAAGCGACCCACCTCAGTCCGGAGCAGGTGCTGAGGGCCACGAGGGAACCCGGGACACCTTCCACGTAGCCTTCGTAGAAGCAGTCRCGCTGCAAAGGATACGGACCGGTCGATGGCACACCAGTCGGGAATGGCTCCTAGGAATCCTGCCTGCAYGGCTGGGATTTTCCTCAGGGATTGGGAGAATCCCTGCTTGCATGGAAGCATCCAGAGCGGGCTGAATGCGAGGTAAATGAGCCCTGCAGCAAGCCGGGCCGCCTGCCTTTGGGGACAGAGCGGCGCGGACCCGCTGCTGCCWTCGGCCCCCACGTCTGCATCCAAACCCTCGGATGCACCACCTGAAATTCCCACACGGCCTTCCCTCGAGGCCACTCCTGCTAGTGAGGGCGCAGAGATGAACACTCAGAGCGCGCGGCGCCCCAAGAGAGGCCMATCCCCGTTTTTCAGCCTCCCGCTGCTTCAATCACCTCGCTCTTCGACTCAGCGAGGGCAGAGCAGCCGGGTCTCACCTTGATGTGCGCCGGCTCGGACGTGACGGGCCCCCCGCCGCCGTCCGCGTAAACCCGGAGGTCGTTGGGCAGGAACACCCTGGAACAAGGGCCAAGCGAGCGGCTCCGAGCGGGGCCGTGTCCCCGGGGACAGCGGGCGCGGCGCGAGGCGGCACTCACTGCTGGCGCAGGCGCAGGGTGCGCGAGGTGCCCTCCACGGGGACCACGTAGGCCAGGGTGCGCTGCGGCGGGGAGCGCCATGTCCGTGGGGACAGCGGGCGCGGCGCGAGGCGGCACTCACTGCTGGCGCAGGCGCAGGGTGCGCGAGGTGCCCTCCACGGGGACCACGTA